AAGCAGATGCGTTGTCACCCATGAGGACTAAGTTGGAATGCCTCTTTTCCAGTAAATAGGGTCTCCAGTCTGTTCTCTACACTCACCATACGAAACACAGCAGTGTTAAGCTTGATAAATATTGATAAACCTTTATTGTTCCTTGATCTAATCTTATCGAAATAAAATAGGAAATATAAATAAATAAAATAATAATAGAAAAATCATCATGGCTGCATTTAGGTCATAGTCCCCTTTTTCCTTGTCTTGCTTTAGTTCTATCCAGTACTTACTTAGTGAAAACATTACTTGTACAAAATTATAGAAATACTAGCTGGCCAGGCAGATGTTGTTCTGCCCTTTCCGACGACTCTTCCTATAAAAAATCCTTAAATTCGTAATAAAAAATTTTGAGGGTCATTTATCGGGACAAAAACTATCCTATCTCTCATGTTGGACCAAAATGCACACAGTGTGCAAAATTTTGTTGAAATCAGTTCAGTAGTTTAGAGGTCCATCGCGGACAAACAACGTGACACGTAATTTTTATATATAAAGATAAAGGAGTTTACACAACTTCTTGTCCAAACACTAAACTCTCCAGCTCGATGGTCGCCATTAGGGAAGAAACGCTACCGGAGCCCCGTCTTTCGCCTTAGGCAATAAGCTGTTTCCGGGTTAGTAATAACCCCCAGCAACTTTGCCGTGTTATCACGATGAATTGTGATGACTAAGTATGATAGTTTTTATTTTTATTTTTTTACTTTTTAACTGTATTTTTTTATTTTAATAGGTCAGACTCTTGGGAAAATGTTAGACATAATTTTAGTTTGTAATTTCCTTAATTTTTTTCTTAAAGATTTTTTTGAGTTTATGACGAAAGTATGGACATGCCTGACGGCCACGCTTCTCCGGCTTATTGGATACTCTCCAAGATATTCTCCAAGAGTTTCGGTCATCACTGAAAATCAGCGTTGTGGTTTCAGTACAACCATAGAGTATATAATCACTACGTTTACTTATTAAATCTACGTATTTTAAACAGATATATTTGTATATTGTTGTGTGTTGCGTAAAAAAATAAAGTTTATGTCTTTCTTTCTTTTCTCCTTTCTTTCTTTACTGGCAGGTTACCTACACGGCTTTATTCCGGTATGAAGAGTATAGATAACTAGTATTATTACTAGTATTATATTACATCTTATTCCTCAGAGGTTAGGAAAGGTCACAATGCACCAGTAGACTTTAGTTAGATTTTTGTTTGAAGTTGACTGCAGATGTCCATGTTCTGCGGTAGCTACTTATCACCAGGTTAAGTGTAAGTTCATTAGTCACTTCATATTTATAAAAAAAGGCTCTAGCGTCTAACACGTGAACAGAACGTAGATCTCCCCTATCGCCTGGCTGCTGCCCATACGTGGTAGAGCCATGCTGCAGCTATATTATGGTTGTAGCACGAATAGGTCGGCTCGAACGGGGAAGGACCACGCTCTCACAGAAAACCAGCGTAAGATAGCAGATAACGCTGCTGTGTTTCGTATGGTGAGTGTAGAGAACCGGAGACCATTTTTACTGGCAAAGAGGCATTCCATCTTAGTCCTCACGGGTGACAACGCATCTGCATCTTGAGTCTTTATTGAGGATAGATGTAGATGTCTATGGGTCACAGTAACCACTTACCATCAGGTGGACTGTGTGCTCGTTTGTCACCCGACCCTATATAAAAAAAAATTTGTCCACGATGGTATATTCATTGGGAAATGCCGAATCCAAATCCCACAGACTGATTATGGCTAATAGTATTACCAGTGCGAGTGTTTTAGCTCTGCGCTTACCAAATCTTTCGCCGAGCGTGATGAGTATGGGCAGATTTTTCTACGTAAACAACACCTGGCACATCTTAAGTTAAACCACTTCTTTACTACGTGGCAGAGCCACACTGTAGCTACGTCATTGTCGTTTTTGCAGTACGAAAGAGACGGTTTGACCGAAGTTAGACCACGCTCACACAGAATACCAGTGTAAAATAGCAGTTTAAAGTTGTTGTGTTTTCTATGGTAAGTGTAGAGAACCGGAGACCATTTTTACTGATAATGAGAATGAGGCACTATTGCCCAAATACTCAAACACTACTAAATTTTAAGATGCCGTTAAGTGTCGTGCTGTCTCTATTATTTTAAGTCAAAGTGACTGCGACACAACGAGATTTAACGTCATCTAATATTGATTAGGGTTTGTGTATTTGGTCATATATCTTGGAACTCAGAGGTGAAAACGCGTCTGTAATTTTAATTCTTAACTTTTTGTAGCTTCACGGCCTTACTAATAATCGTTGATTATCACTTAGTTAAATTAAGTATTAAAAATCTCTCTACGAGGTAAAAATGGTATTCGATTTTTAAAACCAAAGAGTTTTCAATTAAAAAGATTTTAATATGATAGGAACAGTGGAAATATTCCATTCCCGATACTTTTAGTGCAGCCTATGTACATGTCCCTTTCTATTGTAATTGCGCGTTTGCGCGTTTACCGCTTAAGAGAACCCCTTTGTCGTATCTCTTCAATTTCAGGGCACTCCCCTTGCTGCCTCAGCTAGCATCGGAATCCTCGGTGTCGATATATCGAATGATGTGTAGTTCCGTGGTTACTTCGGAAGCCTAATTGGCCTCTAAAAAGCTTAGATTGCCCAGCAGAGCGAGACAGTATTTCATGCCGGCACACTGCTTGCAACTTTACAATGCGCAGGTCGGGCCTTACTTGACCGCATCCGGTTCGAATCGTCGAAGGCCGAGTTCTTTCTCATCGGCTCGATTTACTGGCGCTGCGAAAGGTTGTTGCATCCTTTTGCATTTTCTATCGCATCTACCTCTAGAACCTACCTACCTCAGAACACTCCCTGTGAGCTCTGCGGGATTGTTGGGGTTAATTCCAGCCGCCAAATTTCACGTACGCACATCGCGACAATACTCACGATAGCATCCACACTATCTGGATGCTTAGCGGTCCACCACCGTGCGTTTTATTAGGAGTTTTCCTCCTTGCACTACCTCTTTGTGGAATCGTTTACCACCGGTGATTTCTCTGAACTGGTACGACTTAGGGATTTTCAAGAAAAGACTGGCAACGCACCCGCAATCCCCTTTGTGTTGTAGTTGTTCATGGGCGGCGGTAGTCACTTATCATCAGGTGAGCCGCATGCTCATTTGCCCCCAATAGCATAGTGAAGACAGACAAAACAATTTAAGGCATTTCTTAAATTGTCGTATATTATCATGACTAAGAATGAAACTAAGAAGAACATTTAAAATGGCTCATGGTTTATGCACAATGATATTAATATAAAATATTAGTAAACAGATAAATAATTTTAACAGATGTAAGACGCTTGCGACATGTTCGTTAGTTTTGAGCTCTTTTATATAATATAATTAAGGCAATAGTATAAAACTTCAGTACGATGCCGCACCATTTTCCGTTTAACAAATTTGCTGCTAATTAACTCCTCTACAAGCGCTTAAAAGTTACACATAAGCCTTATTCCGCACTAGGGAGAACCCCAACCGAACAGTTCAAAAAGCACCAGAGTGAGGCTACTTGTGAATTAACATACTCCACTCAAAGCTACCAAACTAACCGCATACGAGAGAAAAAAAATTCTTACGTATTTCACTCATTCACTCACTGTATGAGGCTAATTAAAAAAGTACAGAGGTTGGTTTTGCGAGTGGCGTAGTTCTGCTACTCTCCGCTAGGTAGCGCTTTTCGCTTTGACGATTCTTGGAGGTTTTGTTGAGGGATGTTTGTGCGGTTTCATTTTTTAATGAGGTCGTGTATTCGGGTCTCTGCGGCTGGATAGGCCGCTTCGCGCTTTGTGCGGACGATAACCGCCGTGAGCCCCAGTTAGGCGTAAGCAACGCAAAGAGAGCGGCGAGGTAGGCGGCACGCCTGTGTGCGTGCATGAAAGAGTTACGTTTAGGTTCACTATTCGTTTATTAATAGCGTGCCTGTGATGGAAAGTTATCAGGCATGATGTTTTTGCATGCATTCTATACATACATAAGTATAACTTTTTCAGTTTCAGGCGTAAAATACATATGATAAAAGTGGGAACTGTATAAATTGATTGCAGTTATATTTAAATTACATATACAATACAATAAGTAATCAGTTTTTTTTGTACTTCTATCACACTATGCTATCTCTTATCCGCTTACATAAGTGCCTTCTCTATTTTTAAAAAGACATCCATTTTTCAAACCACCGACTACAATTAGTTTTGTAATAATTTTGAATTATGTACATTTTTTTTCACAAGAACCATTTTTAATTATGTTATTATGTTATGTAAAATAATTTGAAATATTCTAAGAAAATAAGTAAATTGAGTCAATTCGTTAAAGCGACATCTACACGTGAGTAGCTAGTTCAAAAATAAGTTTGTAGGTGACGCTACTTGACTTAGGTCAGCAATAATTATTATTTACTTTAGATATTTTTTGTTTAGTAAAAAAAAATTCTTCCGATGGTTTTATAAATATTTTATTAGTCTGTATGCCTTAATTTATTATAAATTAAAATTTTACATTTTAGTGATCTAAGAAGTTCTTGTTTCTTAATTTATGCATTTTTCTAACTAGCCATTTTAAGCTAAAATAACATCAATTTCTGTTTCTATCTCTGTAGCAATGTTTAAGGGAAGCTAATGTGCAGCTATGAGCTTATGATAATTAAAATAATATATTTGTAAATTAAACAATATTTTGTGCTTAAATTTATAAATACTGAAAGAGGCCTTACTAGGATAACTACAAGTTCAAGATGACAGTGTAAAAAAGAAAGAATTTATTCTAAAAATGAACATCTGTTAAAAGTTCCTGTCAATCACAAAATTCTCTGATTTTCCAATAATATTTACAGTGTAACAATTTCTAAATTAAAATCTAAATTAAAATGACAAATCTACCGTGTGCGCGAGCGTGATATTATTTATTAATTTATGAGTTAATTTATTAGTTAGTGCAATGGTGCGGTGGAGGTTGTGCTTGGTACTGGCGTTGCTTCTGCTCCTACCGGCCAGTCGCTCCAAGTTGGAGGACGATGACGAAGACGAGTGAGTTGATATGTTTGAAACAACGAACCCTGACGTATACGTATATCAATATATTAGTAATATTAATTTGATAGACAGTTTCTTGTAAATCCGTATCACCACAAGAATGGTCAAGATGAAGTTTAAGAGTATAATAATAAACAATCAGTCTTTATATTACGTATATTAACAGCATTAACCATTCAGCTATCGTGGCCCTGCTACTGAGACGTATATATCCTGTTATACCCACTGCTCCTGTCTGAAGGTTATGTAAAGCCAGTTTATTTACAGGTTACAGGCTATAAGGCATTCCATGGTCCTCAGAGGTAACAATAAAAATTTAGTCCCGCTGGGTTTCCTGTTTATTCTTAGCACGACTGCCGTTTGTTCCGTATCGAAATTTCATATTTTGGTAAAAGTAATTAGTAAAAATTAATAAATTACTATCCTTAAGTGTTATTAAAAAAAACTATGTTTAAAAATTATTAAATTTATTGCCGTAGCTCTCTGTTAAAACTCGGTTGCAGGCTTGCAGGTGTCCATGGTTTGCAGTAAGCGCTTTTATTAAATTTTATAGTGTTCGAGCAACCCGGGGTCGATCCACGCCAGCACCAATGAAATTGTTGATTGCAAATTTAAGTGCTGATATAAGTGCTGCTCGGAAGTAAAAGAAAACATCGCGAGGAAACCTGTATGTCTAAGAAATTTAAAAAAATCGAGGACATGTCTAGTCCGCCAACGTAACAACTACCTCATTGTGCCGTGTTACTAGGACTTATATTGCGTATCTCCTTCAGTCAGAAAAATAGTTTTGCCTCTAACTACTATAGTAGAATCATATATTGTGGAATATATATTAAGATACCATTTAAATGTATTATATAAAAACAATACATAATATTATGTTGTTAACTAAATATATTTTATTTGTATAAATTAAATTTAAAACGTTCATTACCTATGTACCTACTAAAACATCGTCATTAGGAACATTGTGAGATTCAATTATTGATAAGTTTCTTTACACAATCTCAGTGTCAGTGCATTATAAAATATTAAGATAACACAAAAGAGATAAAGGAATTTTGATTAAATGGTACGATACATTTTGCTGATTTTTATTTTTTTAGCCACTAGATGGCAGTAGTCGTTAAGCAGAGTAAAGATTTGTGGAGACTGCAGAAATAATGTACCTATTTTTTACTGCAAGGCGCAATGAAGAAGACGATGAGGATGAAGAAGCTGAAGATGATGAGGAAGAAGATATCGAACAAGTGTCTGACCACGGTCCCGGTAGACGCGCACCGGCCATCGTGCAGACACCAAAAACTGTGCCTATTACAAGAACTACTCCAAAGCGCTCGCTGGAGTGCTACGTATGCACTTATAAACCTGATACACCTTTGAAAGCTTGTTTGGATCCTACGAAATATAGGTATCTTTTATACACGTTTTCCATTCCACTTTCTACTGCTCTATGATGATGATGATGATGTATATATATATAAATCTCGATGGTCATTATTTCGTATATTTAATAATAAAAATGTCCTTCCGACCGAATTTTGTCACGGCAGCCAGGGTCAGCAGAGACTAGCCATCTGCGCAGGGCAGGATTATAGTGCCCAAGTGTAGCGCAAACACAAGCGCACACTTAATTCCCTCAGGCGCAGGACAACCGCTTTACTTGCTTTCCGGGGCATGGGCCTGACTCCAATAACTTATTTTTGATGCGACTCGGGACATGTATATACAACTGCTCTATGATTATGATGATAAGGTATGATGATGTGATAGTATAACGATGATGAACAAACCTAGAACCTTGGTATTCTGATCACTAGTCGACAATACTTGGAGAACGCTTCGTAGCTCCGCAACTAACCAACCATAACGATACAGCGTGTTATAGCTGCAACAAAAAGAGATCGGCTCAGCCAGGGAAGGTCTACATTCGCTCAGAATACCAGCGTAAAATTGCGAAATTATACTGCTTCGTATAGTGACCAACGACAATTATTTCAGACTCTTTTTACCTTGAAACCTTCGGGAAACTAAACTTGAAGAAAATGAGACGAATGCTATATATTAGGAGTAGGGTAACTCTAGGGTTTATGTAATTAAAATGTAAATAAATTTATTATAAACACTATAGGTACTGTATTCTATCTCATTCTGTCACGGGCTAAATTCTATACATGTACATGTCATCGAGTTTCAAATCACAAAGATTCTAAAGAAATTTTCACTTAAAAAATCTCCATACAAATCCGTGTCTGTGGACGTATGATCAGTCACTACTATTTCGTTATATTTTATCATTGCCTTCTTTAATATATTTGTTTTTGTAACAGAGTTCATACAATCACATGTCACAGCGTGGACGACAAGTGCTTCACGTCAATTGTCTCGAAGGGGAACACGTACGAGGCCGTTGTGCGAGGTTGTCGCTCTGGATGTATTGGCTCACCAGAAACTACTTGCTGCGAGGTTAGCTACGTACTTTGACTACATTTTCATTCATTTAGAACAACCCATCGAATGTCCTGTGCTGGACATAGGCCTTCCCCATAGATTGCTTCATTGGGAGAGTTTTGATAAAGTTGCCGCGTTTGGCAAGCGGATTGGTAACTGCAGTTTTTTGTAATTTTGAGTTGTTCAGGAAGACTCTCCTGCCCATCTCCTAGTTTGTTTCCCTCTGTCACCCGTTACGACACGCACGGGACGATAAAGGGGTAAGGAAAAGGGGGTAGGGATATACTTACACTGCCACAACACGGTTAATATATAAAATTTATTTATTAATATACAATATTTGTTACAATAAAAATGTCAAAACTAAAATTTTCAAACAGTCTTACTCCCGGCGTTATAGTGCCAAGAACGTGATGTGATAAATATAAAAAGGTGTTGTTTCACTACTTCTGTTCTACTTCTCCTGTCACACTTTACGACACCCTTGGGATTATATGGGTGGTGAATTATTTTTCGCCGACACTATAGTTCTAAATTGACTTGTGCAATTTAATTTACACCGTAAAAAAATCAGAATTACCTCTATTTACAGAAGGTGTCTTGTTCTTCAAGAAAGGTGACAACGCTCTCTTGAAGAACTACAGACCGATTTCCCTTCTGAGCCGCGTCTACATGCTGTTTTCGAGAGTCATTACGAATCGTCTCGCGCGCAGTCTTGACGACTTCCAGCCTCCCGAACAAGCCGGTTTCCGAAAGGGCTTTAGCACCATAGACCACATACATACCTTTCGGCAAATTGTACAGAAGTCCGAAGAGTACAATTTGCCACTATGTCTGGCGTATGTGGACTATGAGAAAGCCTTTGATTCCGTCGAAATTTGGGCGGTGCTGCAGTCCCTTCAGCGGTGCCAAGTTGACTGTCGGTATATCGAAGTGTTGAAGTGCTTGTACAGTAGGGCTACGATGGCTATCCGAGTACAGAACCAGAGTACGAAACCTATCCAATTGCAGAGAGGTGTAAGACAGGGTGACGTCATATCCCCGAAACTCTTCACCGCTGCATTGGAAGACGTTTTCAAGCTTCTGGACTGGAAAGGATACGGTATCAACATCAATGGCGAGTACATCACTCACCTTCGATTTGCCGACGATATAGTCCTTATGGCAGAATCGCTGGAGGACCTAAGCACTATGCTCAATGACCTCGATAGTGTTTCCCAACGAATAGGCATTAAGATGAACATGGACAAAACAAAGATCATGTTCAATGTCCATGTCACACTTATGCCGGTAGTTGTTGGGAGCACTAAGCTCGAAGTTGTTGTAGAGTATGTTTACCTGGGACAAATAGTCCGACTAGGTAAGTCCAACTTCGACCGAGAGGTCAATCGACGGATTCAACTCGGCTGGGCAGCGTTCGGGAAGCTACGACACATCTTCTCGTCAGACATACCTCAAAACCTGAAAACGAAATTGTACAACCAGTGCGTGTTGCCAGTGATGACTTATGGAACTGAGACGTGGTCCTTCACTGCTGGCCGTATGAGGAAGCTCAAGGTCGCTCAGCGAGCTATGGAGAGGGCTATGCTCGGAGTTTCTCTGCGTGATAAACTTAGGAATGAGGATATCCGCAGTAGAACCAGAGTAACCGACATAGCCCAACGGATTAGTAAGCTGAAGTGGCAGTGGGCCGGCCATATAGCTCGAAGAACCGACAACCGATGGGGAAGAAAGGTTCTCGAGTGGCAGCCTCGTACCGGTAGGCGAAGTGTAGGGCGTCCCCCTACGAGATGGAGTGACGACCTGGTAAGACATGCAGGAAGTCGATGGATGCAGGTGGCTCAGGACCGTGCTTTGTGGCATTCTTTGGGGGAGGCCTATGTTCAGCAGTGGACTTGTGAAGGGCTGTAATGATGATGATGATGACAGAAGGTGTTGATTTTTGACTATTCTTTTTCTTTTTTTACTCTTCAGTGAGCGACAGTAGCCTAATAGTTTAGGTTATTTTGCATCATCAGCCTGTTAGAGCTCACGAATGGACCTGATGCCTGAGCATTTGCTTTAATCGCCTCGCACCATTTTTCATATTTTACGTCTGGTATAAACAGGATGTTTGTACCACCATCTATCAGAAGACATGAGATCCTTCTGGGGTTTCCCATAGTCGCCTCTTCCGACACTCAAAGCGAAACGGTGTGGCGGATTCTGTAACGCTGCAACGACCCGGTCTGTTTATGAGATGAGATTGTGGTTGATTATGATAGGATTAAGGATACGTGTACGTGTTCGTATCTACCATAACGAATATTGTAGCAAACTATTCCTTGTGCAATCATTTTAACCCTAGTTGGAGTGGTTAGCTAGTGAACTAGACCACTTACCCACTTTTGAAGTAGTAAAAAATGTCTTTGAGCTGTATAGCCAACTTACCATAATGTAAACTGAGCATTCGCAGATTTTATTTTGCAACGAAACATATCTCACTCCACCTGATGGTAAGCGGTGTAGCCCACAGATATCTACATCTATCCTCAATTAAGAATCAAAATGCAGTTACGTTGTCACCCCTGAGGACTAAGATGGAATGCCTCGTTTCCAGTAAAATGGGTCTACAGTTCTCTTCACTCACTGTATCTGTATCACGGTATTCTGTAAGAGCGTGTTCTTTTCCCGGTTGAGCCAACCCATTCGTGCTAGAACCATAATATAACTATACTTAAAAAAAAAGGAAAAAAATAGCTATTATACAGCTATTTTAGAGGCGTTAGAGAATACACTACCCCATATCTTCGCGTGTGTTTCATAACAGACGACTGAGAGAAATTGAAACAGGAGATGGGTAGCAGCATCTTTCTAATATTAGCTCAAAAAAAATCTGTTGTCGAGCCACCTGCCAAGTTTGGTAACTAGGACAAAAGTCCCGCCTTTGAGGCAATCTGTGGTGTAGGCCTTATCAAAGTCCACCGCTGAATATGTTCAGTAGACTTAGGCTGTAATGAATAACAGTATTGATATATATATCAAGTACATTTAATCTAATGCATATTATATTTACAGTTGAACCGTTGCAACAATCAAGCCTTAGCATTGCCGGTAATTTCTCCTCGTGCTATGAAAGACAAAGCAACCAAATCATTTCCGCCCACGGTATTCTTTTTTGTCACTGTTCTTTTGCTGCTTCAAACAGCGGCTAAAGTTGCTTTTATCTAAGAGATAACGGTTATTAGTCCAATTGATTTCATTTTATTCCTAATAAGCATAATACACTAATAATTACATATCGAATTTGCATATTGACAATTAATTTAACTAATAATTGGACATTAGAGTCTTTACATTCAAAAAGTACAGTGATCTCGTATTGTACATTCTTTTATTCCATATCATATGTATCATAGAAACGCAATAATGAATGGATAAACTTTTGTGGATTTACGTTATGTAAACGTGAGTGATGTCAGGTATATTTTTTCATCGGATGTTTTTGTATCGCTTTGTTTTGTATTAAAATGTTTTCACCTTTTAATTTTTTTTTTGTTATTTATATATTTAAACTAGCCCTTATCTGGCCGTTAGCTTGGTATAAATTAAGCTTTAGTGATAATTGTTATGAAACTGTTACCGATACAGCCTTAAAGCCCACTGCTGAACTTCCCATATATTGCGGCATAGGGGGGATTTGCCATAGTTGTCACGCTTGGCAAACGGGTTGGCAAACGCAGTTTCTTATATTTAGTAGTTATTAGGAAGACGCTGCTGTCCATCTCCTGATTTGTTTCCCTCTGTCGCCCCTTACGACACCCACGGGATGATATGGGGTACATATTCTTAAACCGCGACTGCACGGTTATGAAAAGTACCCTATTTTCTGTTTCAAATCATAATCAACTACTTTGATAACTTCATTGTTATTCTAGCCGTTCAACTGTGATTAAGGTTGAACATCCAAATAAACATTACGACGTATCGAGTAACGACATTTTAAATATTCCCTAGGAACAGTTAGTAATTTTTCTAGGACTTGTTAAGTTAGAATTTCCTAAAGCAGAGCTGCTTTTTACACTACAATTTCTATGAATTATTTAAAATTACTGTTGTAATGACGTAATGAGTAAACAAACAAAATTCTTATATGTAGTAGAGCCTTGTTCTGAGGCTTATAATGAATATGGACAAGACGAAAGCCATGTGTAACGTCCATGTCACACTTATGACGGTAGTTGTTGGGAGCACTAAGTTCGAAGTTGTTGACGAGTTTACCTGGGACAAATAGTCCCACTAGGTAAGTCCAACTTAGACCGAACGGTCAATCGACGGATTCAACTCGGCTGGACAGCGTTCGCGAGATTATAACACATCTTGTAAGGCATACCTCAAAATCTGGAAACGAGATGGTACAACCAGGTGTGTTGCCAGTGATGACCTATCGTGTACCTTCACTGCTGGCTGTAAAATCATTTTAAGATAAGATATTGATAAGTGTAATCATAGTTAAAGTTTTTGTTTTGTCCCGCACATGAATCTGACCATAAGTGATCTTTGTTTTGTCAACTTCGATCTACCTACACAAATCTTAGAAGTGTGCTTGCAACTTCAGCACTTCCGCGATTCGCTATATCTTGAGTTCATGTGTAACAGACCCAGACCAATATCTAGATTGTAAAACCACAGTTGTCGTAAGTAGAACGCTTTTAAGTTGTTAGTTTTCGTGGTCTTGTTTGTTTACAACATCTGGATGTTAGGCCTTGTGAAATTTATGTATGTAAACTGCCCCCACGAGATACAGGAGTAAATCTTAGTGTGGAGGTAACGTTTTTTAATATAAAAAAATAATTAAAATTAAATAGCTGCAACAGCAACATATTGATTTATGACCGTCATTTGATTCTCCAGCATCGCAAGTGGCATACGTATCACACTTTGGGTATCCCAAAGATAAATTCTATGACAAAAATATTTTGTATGAACATTTCTTGACGATGAAGGTGTTATGTATGTCACATAACATCTTCTTTTCTAATAACTGGCTTTACGGCTCTGGGATCTAGCCCTTCTGAGCCTGAAGTTACAATATATTATAATAATTATCCTTTATAGTATACTGCTTCACAATATGTTGATGCGTCACATTGTGCAGCCCTTGGGAGATTTTGACGGCAACTCGCCAGCAGACAGCTGACGGTTGGCGATGGTATCTCAAGGCGCCTAAGCAGACAGACACCTTATTTTGAGAATCACATCACCATTAGAGCACTTGTTTCACAGTTTCCACTAATAGTTCACATGCGCAGACACTTAATACACAAAATCGCACCACTTTTACATATCAAAGTCCACTTCAAACCATTATTTAAACAATAATACAGGAGCAGCAAACCGCCGCCGGTCAAGTTCCCGCCAAAACCTTTGTCACATAACACTTTCATTTCTGAAAAGTGACGTTGCGTCATTCGACCATTGTAAGCTGAGCTGTACGAACATAACACCTTCTTCCACGATAGAGAAACAAAGTTTTTACTTTTATTTGGAAGGCGGCGATGTGGGGCAATACCTCTTTCATCCAGTTCCATTTTCAAACTGAACTGAACATAACACCTTTATCAACATTCTATTTCCAAAATGTGCCTTAAATTAATAGATTTAAGGTCTGTAGTCATTTTGTATCGACATATCACCTTCATACCTACGCAAAAAAAAACACCAAAACCTGACAATGCGACATGTCACTTTCATCCATTCACGTCTTTACAAAAATTAATTATAAAAGAGTAATTAACACCGTATCTATTTTCATTATATATAATACAATATTAGTAACAGCATCACGGAGACAACGATTTCCACGTTTTTTGTTTATACCCCAATGTTGAATCTTGGGCTTCTAGATAACGTGCGGCAGTTTTGTAGAGACAATGGTTCATATCTATGCTCTGATTCTCTGAACTCATGTTATTAATAAATTCTATATTTATGGACCAAAATTACTTATATTCATAGTTTTATGTTTGGTTTGATCATTTAATCCCAATAAAGAAAATCACAAAATGTGGACCCGACACTGTGATCGAGTTATTAACAAATTTTATATTTACAATGTAGAAAGTTGGAACTGAATTCGCAATGAAACTCATTGCGCCGCCATTGGTGAGGGCAGAACAACGTTTGCCGGGCTTGCTAGTATTATATAAAAATAACTAAATTATATCTATTGGGACTGCGTATTTATCACCATTCAGCGCTGGTTCAGCTCGTGTTTTGTGGTCACCAATAACTTAAAACTCTTCCTCGCTTCGCTCGACGTCGCACCTATATATTATGTGACTTTGTCCTCGACAAATCATTAAAAAATACTTTTGTTTATTTTACTTCATACCTAAATGACTGTTTTTATCTATTTATATTAAAAAAATACTATTCGACACTTAAATGTATTATTTTAGTTGATCGATGTATCAAATGTTGGTATAGTTTATATATGTCGTAGGATAATTTGATAAACCGACTTTTCCGCAAAAATCTAGAAAAACACGGATAATTAGACAATGGCTATGTCATTTCTCAATCTTACTGAAAAAAGGAGTTTTGCGAAAACACTGGTTGCTTTAGAAACTTTGAATATACTTAACTCTGATTGGTTTGATTTTGGTTTATAGGCCAATTCTTATTGTAATTATAAAAGTTAACATTTTGGTGTTTTATCTGGCGCAACAGCTAGTGAAGCGAGCACGGGTCTTGGGGCACCCGGACTCGGACAGGTTAGGTTAGAAGGGGACGGCGGGGTCGGGTGAGCGAGTGAAGCGAGCGAACAGACCCCTCCATCCTCTTCGTGGTTATTTTTTTACAAGCCATCCAGAAATAGGAGCCCCGCTATGCGGGGCTCCGTCGACTACACTTTGCTATTGCTTTGGCGGATGGAGGAAGCTCCCCAGAAATCATTAAAAAAAAATTTTAATCTTCAACATTTAATTAAAAAAAATAGGCACATCCGGCGGGGAAAAAAGGTGGGGGGCAAATCCGATAAGACGTTGTTTTGGGCGATCCGACTGACCAATCATTGTGCTTCGTTTATAATAGCCAACGATTCTTTTCGCAATCTTTACTAAAACGAGTGGCGTTTTTACATAAACTCCAATTTTTTTTTTCAGTAATATTGAGAAATGTGTAATTATCCGTGTTATCCCGATATTCCTAGATTTTTGCCGAAAATTCGGTTTATCAAATTATCATATGACATATATAGATAAAATAGGATCGTAATATATATAATAATACTCATACTAGATGGCGCTACGTGTACATTTGAAAGGCGCTATGGTTTTACTTTTGTGAAACGAGTAAGAGCATTCTACAAATCTGTTACGGCATTCTCCGGTCGAGCCGACCCATTCATTAAGATTTTTGAACGTCCTTTGAGGTTGTTTTTATACAACCTACGGACGATTTTATTCATCAGATTGTCACTCCATCTAGTGGGAGTTCGCCCAAAACTGCGCTTACCAGTACGATATTATTGTATACTAGCGACCCGCCCCTGGGTTATCTGGATAGGATCTATTAATGTGGCATTATTCAGATTTATGATGAAAAACTATATGATAAACCATTTATTATATCAAATTGTTTATTTTTCCAAAAATAATCCTAAGTTTTTCGGATGAATATATATATATGTATATATATAGAGCAATGATATATATATATATATATATATATCATTGCTCTGTATCTGTTCGCAAAGTTTCAGTTATAGGTTCAGCCATTCCAAAGGTTAGCCCGGACAGACAAATAAATAAATTTAAAATGTTCGTTTATGGTCATATAAGCATACAAATAACCCCCTAAGATTATAGCCAATGATTTCAATATAACATACAGGTACTTCAATTTTATTTATGTGTAGACTTTAGATGGTACAAATGTCCAAGAGTTTTGGATAAAATGTAGCCTAGATCACCCCTGGCTCCTGGCATTGCTCTTTTAATTTGTTTGTGGAGTTTCATTACAATTGTTTAGTCATTCCGCCCTATACTCCATCAGTCATGATGGACTAGTCATGGGGTTACTCATCAATTTTATTTGAGGATGAGGGAGCACCTCGTTTTACCTACCTAGTAGACCTGTGTTCAGCAGTGGACTTATGATGGGCTATAGTAGCAGCAGCAGTAGTAGTAGATGTAATAAATCGAATATCAGATTAAATTATACAATTA